TGAAGTTTTCAAATACAAAGAGTTTATAAGTATTTATTCTGTTCTTCAACTGCAAATAATGTAACTTAATAGGTACTTTTGGTGGCATAAGGTCTAAAGTTTTGTTTTGGAAAAGCCTGGGAGGATAGGAAACAGTAATATGAATAAAAAACTTTTGTGAATCTATAAAGGTAACAAAATCCCTTATTTAGGGACTCTGAGAAAAAGAAATAGAAAAAAAAAACAAAAACAAAAAAAAACACCAAACAAACAAACCAAAACTGAAAAAGAAACAGTTTCAAATGCAACATAATAGAAACAAACCCTGACAGGAGAATCCAGTCCCACCTGACCTAAATAACCAGAATGCTTCACAGGCAGCCAAGACTAAGATGAGGTAACAGTAAGCATTTCTCAAACCTGTCCCAGCGTAAGAATCTAACATGGTGCAGGTAATTCAGACAAGGATATTATAACTCAAGCTTGGAGGCTGTAATAATATGATCACCTTTGAAAACTGCAGCTCAAAACACAACTCCACTTCTTCCCCATGGACCTTCCATCCTACAATGGAACTTCACCTCCTCAAATACCATGACCATCTAAACAGAACCACTAACAGAAGAAACAAAAAAGGCACAATCTCTTTACACCACCCTTTGTGATAGGATTCTTTATGTTTTCCTGCTTTCCCTGAATTTCCAGTCCCCTCTTGACATGGTCTGAGGTCACATCTGGAATCAGGTTGCTGGTGTAAAAGACATCTAGATGGCAAAATCTTTAGTGTCATCAGCACACCACCCTTAACCAACAAGAAGAGTCCAGGACTCTAAGACTGAGCAAAAGGATTCAGAATCCACTGTGACAAGAACACACCACTGCTAACAAATATGAACAAGGACATGAAAAAATTGTTTCATGAAAAAAGTTATTTCCCCTTGCCTTGCAATACCTCTTCCAGATTCTTCTGCAGTTCCTGCTCAGTCAATAAATCTGTACAAGGAAAAACACATGTGCTTAGCACAGCCATTTTTGCCAGCAGGCACAAAACCAGCTTGGCGCCTGCTGAATAGACCACCAACTGCAGCAGCACTTTACTACATGGTAGTATACACAGTGCCAGCTAAGAAGAGAGACTGAGAAAAAAAGCAGAAGTGATGCTGGCTAGAACAGCCTTGATAGTCAGGTAGGGCCAGTTTTACAATTTGTGAGGTACATGACCACTCCACACACCCTACTCTCTAAAGCTTCTCTTCATTGCCTGTTCACTGAAGGAGAGATGATGCACAAAAGTGGCCCTTATTGGGGCAAAGCTTGTGGTCATGAGTTTGTTTGCTTTGTGTCTTGTGCATCTAGACTTCCGATGAGGACTTACCTGTACTGTTACCACTGCCTGACTCCCAGGGCAATCACTGCCAGCAGACAGCCTAAGAGCTAGCACATCTGCTGTCTTAGCCCAAACAACATCAGACTCAATCACCCTGAGCCATAGCCTTCATTCAGACCTACTCCCCACACATGTTCTTAGTGAAATAAATCAAGACTGAATTTGGCTTGTATCAGGAGTAAACCCTTTCTGTTTTAATTTTCTAATCGAGGACACAAGGCTTAAACATAGCATCCAGTTTCAAGTAGCACAAATGCCTGGGATCGATCCTAGAACTGTTTTTCTGGTTGAATGCCATTGAGAGCAGACATTTCAGCTGAAATCAGCATCAACTTGTCATTTGACAAGCACTGCCTTGGTCAGTGTCCTGTTAGACAGCTGCTGTTATTCAGTTGATTGGTCTGAGTACCAGTAGTATGTAGTGGCCCATACAGGTACACCTGCCTCAGCCTGGAGTCTACATGAGCAAGTTTGCAAGCTCTGGAGGGGTCTTGTGACTCAAAAACAAATAAAGGATCCCAACACATTCCTAATTCCTCCTCTTGCACGATGGACATTTCCAAATTCACTTTTCATGGTATTAATTTAAGGACCACAAGAACAAGAGAAGACATGCTTCTGGCCCTCAAAATGTCCATTTTCCTCAGAAAGGCAAACAGAAACATAATGAATATTTACTGGACTGGAAAATTCATCACAAGGGAGGCTCTTCTAGCACAACTAGGCTTAGGTCTTCTTGTCATTAAGTCTTACATTGGAAAATGGCCCAGATTTTAACTGCAACAAGGGGGAAAATAAGGCTTTTAAAAATTCATTCAAGCACACCAATGTTTCATTATACCCTTAGAGAGCAGATGGCAAGATGGGACTATACTATATCCCCTGGGTCTGATTCAGGGAGCTAACACAAATGCTCTTCTCACTACAGATCTCAGACGAGGTTGGTGTCATCATTTCACTTGGGGATTTGGGTCAAAAGGCTTTACACTCAAATCTGGTTTTTATATAGTACAAGTGCACCCAGACTACAACCTAACAGATAAGCAGCAGGGAGGCTAGTACACAGCACAGAGCCCTCTCAGGCACTTCCAGGTCGCTGATTTACATTGGCACATTTACAGACTGAATCCTTCTAATCCAATTAAATCTCATCTGAGCTGTCAATACAGATGTTTTATTTTAGTGTCTCATAGAATATGCATTAATACGGAACTGTGGACAAACTAGCCCTTCTAGGCAAATTCTCCATTCTGCCAGCCTGGTTTCTAGTGCAGGTTCTCTCACTCATAAAGCCCTTACTACTCTCACGTTACCTGCATACCCAGGAACTCCTATGGACATGTATCACTACCCTATCTGAGTACTTTATAAAAACGTGTGATATACCCATTAACCTTCTAAAAAAATAGCACTCTTCTGTCAGCTCACTTCTGGTGTAATGATGGCTAGGATACTATCATTAAATATAAGAACATGAATATGATCTATTTTCATTTCAATAGCTTCATTTGTTTGAAATGTATATGCCAGTTACAGGCTGTCAGCACATTTAATAAGTTATAGCATAGACCAACAACTCACAAACTTCTGGGGCCAAAAATTTTGTACAGATCATCATGTATACTGTAATTTAATTTTGCACCGCAAACATTATAAATCATACTGTTTAATAGACTTCCATAAGGCAGCTGTGAGATGTTTTGCCACAAGCACATGGAACACCAGTATTTGCCAGGCATAAAACAAAAAGCTAACACCCTTAATACCACCACAAACTCTCAAACTCCTCACAGAAACTGATACCCTTCTCAGTAAGCAAAAGCCCAGCAGTAACTGAAACAGGTCTTTCACTATGACTGAAGGTAAACAAGCTCGAGTTTTAGCAAGCCAGGTTCATGAGCAAAGCACATCTGTTGGTGACGTCTTCAGGAAGGCTGGATAGAATGCTTCAACGGATCTTGGTATTTGAGAGAGGTGAACTTTGATACAGCAATTAAAGCTTTGCATGTTGAAAACAATACTTAAGCAGCATCCAGAAATAAATTGACAGCAGAGCAGATTACACTCTTACTCATGATACCTGTCACCAAGTAGAAGTCTCCAGTCAATCAGCTGCACTTCCCAAGAGGAATTCAAGTAATCCCACAAAAAAGGCAAACTGACTTAAATATAGACCAGGATTTTGTGAGATATTGCCATAAGAGGAGATTTCTCATCTGCTACTTAGTCAGAAGCAAGTAGAAACTCTTTTGTTGCACACTCTATTCTTTCTGAGACAGCTGCAAATCCTACTGACTACTTCCCACGCCCCTGGCATAGAATACTGCAAATGCTAAAAACTTGCCATGGGTAGAAACAGTTAAAGAAATCCATACCAATTTACTATGTACACAGAAAGCACCTTTGGCTGAGCAAGTCCTTGAACTGAAAATTGTTAGAGGGTTGGAGAGTATTCCAAGAAAAGACCACCTTATGGCCACATCTTATATTCTTCCCTAGGCACCTGCTCTGCACCCCATCCTGAAATAGGAGCCTTGACTAGGTTGTCAGACCACTAATCTGACAAACTATAGCTGTTTGAATGTTTGTTATGACACACTATAGTTGCCCATAATGTTAACCTCTACTTGCATACCCAAATTATATGGTTATTTTCATTGCTATAGCACTTTGAAACCATGGTAACGAGCAAGATCTTACTGGACTAATGTTTTATGTGTAATGAAGAAAGATTACTGGCACATTCCTCTAAATTCTGAGATATAATATTTTCTGTTCTGTTCCTTATCTCAGTAGCACCACTCAGGCATATATACACCTAAAGGTACCTCACTCTATATAACCCCCAATCCCAGAGTGGTAATGAGATAGCTAATCAACTGCATCAAATGGGCATCACTTTTACAGCGTGGACTGCAAAACAGCACAGCCCTACAACCTCTGCCTGCGTTCTACATACGGGTTGAACAAGAGGGCAAAGACAGAGAAGTCATTTGATACCAGGCATGAATAGCAAGTGCCTGCTACTGGAATATGCAACATTTACCACAAAAGCAAACTACAAAGTTCATCTGAAATAACTGCTTCCCTTCCTGTTTATGTCTGTTGCTGCAAGAGCACCATTTCATGGTTCAAAGGCAGCTAGCTGATGAAACATAATTACCATGGTCACCTGATTCTCATACCTCACCAGAAGTATGTTACTGATCGACAGAACAGTAGAGTCCTTATTTTATAGACCTGTACACCCTAAGATTTTCCACTGTACTGTATTATACAGAAGATTTTTATCCCAAAGTTGGTAACAAGAAATTGACTGTCAGGGATTTGTTCTCTAGAGAACTTCTGAGGTTTGTTATGATATGCCAAATACTACACCTGGAGAATTCCACAGTGCTATAAGCATAAATAAGCATATTTAAGCATTTTGTTGTACTTTTGCCCAGTGTTACTGTCATCCATCCTGTCATTTGCCACCTTTCTCCCACCAAGGAAGTGGTCATAAAAGAATGGGGGAAAAAAAAAGCTTCAACAGAAGTTTTTTTTTCTTGTCCTTCTTAAGACCCTTAACTCATTTGAAACGAGGACTTCATTTGACCCCCTAAAATATATCAGTCTGTCATCAGAAACTTACCACAAGTTCGGAGAATCTGGCATTGAGCTCTTCTGCTGGTGGGATTGGGACAGAAAACTCAAGGAATTGCAGGGGGTTATTGTCCTTGAGGTTGATTTCAGGGAGGTCGCTACCCCCAAAACAACAAAGAAACCCCAACGCATGACGATTCCTCTTCCGGGGGGCCATGATCATGGTGTATGATGCTATCTTCTGATCATGTTCTGCAGGAATTAAAAAAAAAAAACAAAAAAAAAAACCCAGACATTAAATTATAAACAAGACTGTTGGATCTGTGTAGTTCTCTGCAGTTACAATAGTTTGCACTAGTATAATAGCTGGAAGAGGACAGAAGGAACTGAGACACAAAAGAGCAAAACAAGCACTCAAGATAGATGAGATAGCTAAGCTTTAATATGGTATTAACATGTTCTTGTATGGCAGTGTAGAATCACTTCTCCCAAAGTTTCTGAAAAAGTTTTACAAACTCAGTGTGGGATTTCCTATCAGGCAGAGTTATCAGTAACGCTGAGTAGCCACTGTTGAACACTACCACTGAATGCCAGTATTGGCCTTTCTCTCACTACTACAGTAAAGGAACCAAAGTATCAGAAGCAAAAATCATATACTGGACAATTTACCCAGAATAAATGGAAGGATCCTCCAAAAGTATGCCATTTGGTCAAAATAAAATGAACAATGAAACAATGAAGCAGAAATCAGTTTTTCATCACTTTGAAATCAGACCATCAAACACTCACCCCTTAATGGCCAGGACTATTGCAATAGGACCACTATATCTATCCCATTTTCAAATACACATAACTAGTTTGGGCTGCTTTATGTATCCAGAGGAGAAGACTGCACAGGGCTAATGCATGCTTTCAGATTTACATTTGAGCTGCCAGACCCTGTCTTGACAGGACCCAGGCTTGAGGGTCTTTGGTATCAGGAGAGTAAAGGGAGGCAAAAGGAGGCTAAAGGAGGAGCTGGGAAGTGACTGATTCCACCCCACAAGCCGGTTTGAGCGGTCCATCCAAACAGGAAGCTTCCTGCCAGCAGTTTGAAAGGACGGATCTGTGCAGTCCGCAGAGAGCCACATATTTTGCCCTTTTAAGGGACTTATTGTTTGACAGCTCAGGGCCTTATTTGTGGTATATTTTTAAGGACTTCACTTTTTCACTTAATCTGCAGAATAAACCATATCCTTAGAGAGTAAATAATTAAAGCCTGTTGTGAAGCCTGGCTCCCTGCACACAGTGCAGGGGAGCAGGGAGGGAGGTTGCAGGTGAACCGAACCACAGGATGCTGGATGCTGTATCAGCAGCAACACAGCTGAGCTTTGTCATCAGAGCAGCTGCTGCCCTAACCTGCCCCACAATGCTTTGGTCTGTTTGCTTGCCAGAACAAGGCTGCTTTGAGCTCTCATAAAGATGAAGTAGCTGTACTAGGAAAAGCACCTTCAGAAAAGCAGTTGCATAGTGGAATTTAACATACTGCACACAGCCAGAAGCTCTCCAGGGACTTTTTGTGTAGAAATCAGCATGCTTACTTAAGAAAAAAAACTAAGCAACACAACCCCCAAGCCACCTAAACCTCTACCCTTGTGGTGCTATGTGCTTAGCCAGAATCACCTGCCCTACTTTGTACTGCAATCAATTTATCTAGCACATCCTCTTATGCACTGGAGGGGCATCAGCTGCAACTCTCCTGCATTGAATGTGAAGTGAGCTGGTACCAAGCACTGTCTTCTGGCATGCCCGCTTCACTTTGCTCTCCATGCCAACCCTGCAAAGGATAGTATGTCTCAGCAGGACTCACTAGGGCAGGGTAATGCTGGCTTCAAAAGCACATTCATAACAACATTGGATTTTCACTAGGAGATGTCAAAGGCCAATGGAACCCTGGAACCAGTCTCTTGACAATGGTTCAGTGAGCAAAAACAAAACTCCCTCAAATCTAGCACAGTGATGTGCACATCAACTTCTGTTTCCTCTCAGTAATGGAGACTTGAAAGATTCAGTTCTTAAAACATTTCACAAGAGAGCTACAGAAGCTGAACTTGTCTACCAGAGACCACCTTCTCAGGGACTACTCTGAATGCAATGTCCTTTATAGTAATCCAGTCATGGATGAGGTTCTAAACTCGCTCATTAGTTTGACAAAACACTGTTTTGGAATGAACTCAAACCAATGAGACAAACCTGATTTATATGCAATATAACAACATCTGTATGATTTCAGTTGTAAACCAAGTTCTAGACCATTGTCTGAAGGCTTCCTCACCAATCATTAAAGGACCAGCATTCTCTGGGACATGGACAATGAATCATCCTTGAACAAATTGGCTGAGACATTGAAGTGATAGGACCATAATGTCTTTATGAGCTCAGGTCAAGACTTTGGTAAGCACTCCTCCAAAAGAGGTAGCTTACCAGGAAATTACTACTGCGTGAATAGATATGAAGGCCAACATTTTCTACAGGGTAAGTACTGCCCTGGTCAGGGCACCACAGGTTGCCCTGTACTGATTGACATTTCATCACTCAGCTTTCATCTTACGCAGGTTCACCTAAGAGGTGAACAGTCAGTCTCCAGGCCTTTCTTCATCCATAATGTTGAGAAATACACAAGCTTGTGCACGTTCCTGTGTTGTTTTTACAAAAATCCATATCCGTTTCATGGGATCCATACTTGAGAAACTCAGCTCAGCTTTCACTGCTTTACATAAGCACACAGAGCTCACATCAACAGTGACCTTGTATTGTCCCACTTCCACAAAGCATCATTGCCTTGCACAACTCATACTTTAAACACTGGGATTTTCCGGGTCCATCTATAAGCAGCATGCAGGAAATTCATACTGACACACTTTCGTATTGCTACAGCACTGACACTGTATTTAGGTGAGGTGTCTACATACTTTTAAAATAAGAAAAATTGAGGACTACTAGAGAGGAATCTAGCACAGGTATTTTAAAATTTAATCACTAAATGAATTAACAATATTTCTAAGTGAGAACACTCTTTCTAAAGATTAAGCCTGTCAGTCACAGGATGCTGAGGGGCGTACTTAAGTTGCACTGTTTATGCTATTTAAGAACTAATTACAACTCCTTGATTTTTGTTGGTGGACAGTTTTAAAAAAAATAAACGTTTTGTAATTGCTTCCAAATTAACAATCTTTCCCTTTTCTTTCTCTCTCTTTTGCTTTTTCTTTGTCAAGAACCAAATCTGGGGAAAATGTGCTTCCAAAGGATGGGGTGGGGGAAGGGGGGAGGCAACAAAGAAAATGAGGAAACTAATATCTATCATTTTTCTGAGTGGTAATTGGTAACAAAGCTGTCATAAAAAGTCATTAAAATAATAAAAGGTGTGGGGTTTTTATACTAATAAAAGCTTTATTGCCTTTCAACTTCTTGCAAAGAAAGTGGTTGGAAAAATGAAACATATGCAATTATCTATTTCTATATATAACTCCAGTGAGAATCAATGGGAAATCTCTCTCTGGAGAGAATCCCACTATTACACATAACTGCCTCCCACAGCTCTTCTCAATTGTACTGTTTTACCCTTTTGCACAACACAAACAAGTTGCCGTCATTTCAACAGCTAACCGCACGCCTGCTCCTCATAGCAATCCCCCTCCTGCTTCACAGCCCCATCTGTGGTTCGGCTCAGGTCAGGAGTCACAGTCTGGAACTTTGCCCAAGGTCTAATTATAACAACGTCCTCTTCCTCTGACAGCGCGTACGTGTTCATTTCTAAACCATTTGGCTCAGTGACCAAACATAATTAAGTTAATGCAATTTTTCCAAGTCTTATCAGAAGGTTTAGCCACATGGGATGGGATCTATCCTAACGGCACACGAGGATCCTCTTTCAATCGCAGGTTCTGGATTTTTTCTTCAGCCTCACTCTTTTCTTCATTCTCATCTCAGAAATTATAATTTTCATGCAAACATATTCCAAATAAGAAGTGTTCCACAAGCAGTAAGACACCCGAAACAACTGCTAAGCCAGCAGCTCTCCTGTGCAAGAGCACTGATTATTAGTTTTTACCACACCGTCCTGCTCCTCACCACAGTGAACAGCCAAAGCACAGCTGTAACTAAAATAAAAAGTTGCTTTTGTATCATCACCTTTGGGAAAAAAAAAAAAAAAAAGGAGAGAGAATTCTGTGGGTTAAACAAACACACACAGTCCTGCAAAACCGGTTTGCAACATAAAGAAGCATTCATGGAAAACACTGCTTTGCTCACTTCCAGAGCTGAATCTCCACTGATCATCAACAGACAGAGTGTTGGTGGATGTAGCCACAGCTCTCACCTGAGTGGGAAGCATGGGACTAAATGTATGATGCAGAATTACTGTCCACACTGGTTTATGCTAACAAGAGAGGAAACAAAGAAAACCACTTCCATTTTCCTGTAAGTCTATCATCTTTCTCTATGGCAGGATAAAACATATAAATGTGACATATTATCACATAAGTAGAAAGAAACCTTGATTTCTACACAAGCCAACTCACCCCCACCCTCAAATCCAAGTTAAATCTCTATGTTATTCACCTATTAAATAATAAACCACCAGAGCTTCATGGTATGATGTGGGACAGGACTAGAGTATTAGAATAGTTACCTTCATCATCACTTAGTGATGATGAAATGGGGAAAATAAGCACCATGCTCAAAATTGCCAAACTGTATACACTGGGTAAAGCTGAAGAGCTCTGTACCATCCTATGCTCAGTTCCCTGGACCACATTGCTTCTCCAGTACACAGATGGTGAAATTATGAGCTTCACAGCATGTTCCAATTACCATGGGAATTTTCCATGTATGTCACATGTAATGTGACAGATGTCAGATGCAATATAAGGCAGTTGCAGCCTGGGGGATGGGGAAAGGCAAGCAATCCATTTGTTGTATCTGCAGTAATAACCCAACTCGTTTGGTTTGGATTTGTCACCATACCAAGGAGTTTCCTGGTCTCCAGGGCACAAAATAGCAACAAAATAAGCAACTATTTCAAATCCACAAAATTAGAACCTCTCTTTCAGGAAGGAGGGTAGTCCTTCATGAAGGGTGCACTTGCCTACTACATTAGACAGGAAGATAACAGATACAAAGCGGATCAACAGATCACATGAAAGAAAATTCTGGAAAATTAGTGGGGCTTTGTACAGTGATAACCACTCAGTCCCAGTGAGCCATGGCCCACA